CTGTTAACTTGACATGCATTAATAGCAACGGGGAGATGAGACCTGGAGATGTTCTTCAACCCAGGTTTTTGTCTTAATTCAATTCAAATACATCACATAGAATATAAAATGGAATCTTTTTAAGAAACAGAGTTAAAACCTTTGGTTGAGAGCTGAATTTTCTCCTCATGGGACTTACTGGCCTGATCTGTTTATTAAATAGTTCATACAGGTCTTTTCCATCTCCTGTAAGAGAAACTAAATTTGAAGCAGCTATTTTACAGCTGTCTAACGTTCTCAGGAAAGCCTCACTACTGCCTGATGCTGTTCAAAGGTGCATTGAAAAGAATTTATGATCTTGGTTCCTTTGCAGCTGGAGTGGCTTTTAATATTGCAAAACATGCTGATTTATAATCTTAGCTGGTAGCTGCAGAGAGAAGGCCATTTATTGCATGGACATGGAGAATGGACTATTGTCTTTCCAGCAGACACTACCTCAGGCTGCATCATGACTGTAGTGCAGTCTGCCTCCTGTCACCCACCTCTGTCCTAGTCCACTGATGATTTAGACTGAGGGATGTTAGAGCATGTTGTACCTTCCTGTGCCTTCCACAGCCTGCTCCACCAGATTTCTTTCTGTGGAAGTCAGATTGCAATGGGTTGTTGGAGTTCTTGGGTCTCATCCTGTATTGGAATGATATGCCAGTACATGCCTTCAGACTTGGAAGCTGGAAAGTGTTTACCCCAGTGATACAACAATAGAAAAACTTCTATTTTGACTGCTCATATTGAAATTCTGCTTAACAAGCCAATACAGAGGGCATTTTTTGACAGCTGCCAGTCTGGTACATTTCATTGTTACTAAATTTAGTAAAGTGTTTTCCAAGTACGTAAAGGAGAAAAAGGTAGATCTAATTAGGAAAAGATGTAAGCAAGGCTAATTACCTCATCAAATTGCCAAGCTTGGCTTCTGAGCTGATGCAGTGGAGAGCCTCTGGTAAGGAGCGTCTGAAGCTTTTTATGATTCAGCCAAATTGTAGGACTCTGTTACCCCTTTCAAAAAACCCCCAAGAAACCTTCAGCCCCAGTATTTTACATTAGTACTTGGCATGGGCAAATTTCGACTAGCAGTAAAAGCAATCTTCTGTAGATACTTTTGTTTGGTTGGCTTTATTTCACATCCCTTCTCCTCCCCACAAGGAAGAAAAGCAAAAGAAAAGTTATTAATGTTTCTGGCTTCAGGGGTGGTGCTGACATGGGAACCCTCGAACAGCATGCAGCTTTTTCTTTGTTATGGGGCTTTTCTAAGCATCTTGTCTGCAGTTCATTGGCAGACAGACAATGTCAGTCTCCCACTGAGGTGGTTTGTGTAAGGTGTTTATTTCCATACTTTAATTCATGCCACCTTCCCTGCAGTTTTCTGCCATAGAAGATATTTGTCTTCATTTTGACTAGGCTATTAGGTAGTCCACTGACTGTAGTGAAAAGCTTTAGAGCTAGAATAAATTACGGAGGAGTTACTAGGCACTTCTCTGCTTCTCACTGCAAATCAATACCACTCTGTAGAGCAAGGGGTGAGCACACTGACACTGCATTAAGGAATGAATATTAAAAGCTGCTAAAATCTGAACTGAATGGAGAGGGAGATATTTCACTTAGCCTTGGTATCATAGAATCATAGAATCGTTTAGGTTGGAAAAGACCTTTAAGATCATCAAGTCCAACCGTTAATCTATCACTGCCAAATCCACCACTAAACCATGTCTGTAAGCGCCTCATCTACCCGTCTTTTAAATCCCTCCAGGGATGGCGACTCAACCACTTCCCTGGGCAGCCAATGCTTGACAACCTTTTCGGTGAAGAAATTTTTCCTAATATCCAATCTAAACCTCCCCTGGCGTAACTTGAGGCCATTTCCTCTTGTCCTATCACTTACTTGGGAGAAGAGACCGACACCCACCTCGCTACAACCTCCTTTCAGGTAGCTGTAGATGTATTTAGAAACAGGAGTAGGGAATAGAAAAGGCTTGTTGGGAGGGGAGTATTCTTGCTGGTGGTCTTAATTTCCTTTGTAATCCAACTACCACACTTATTTATTCCGTGTTAGTCCTGAATACAAAGAGTAC